ACTCGACAAGATATCCCGGACGAGGTAGGAGTGTCGCTAAGCCTAAAATGGATTGAAAATACAATGGGCTAAGCAGGAGAGAAAAGATATTTCCATGTGGATGGAACTATAAGTAGCATTGCCAAAGTGCACTAACCGAGATCGTAAGCCACTTTAGCTACGTTGGCTGCTACTTGTGCAGAAATCTTTCTGATGTTTCTCAAAGGTGGATAGATCAGCCCCTTCTCAAAGTCTTCCTGTGACACTTGACCAGCTAACGCCTCCGCTATGTTGAAACCAAGAAAGAAGCTTTAGAATGATAATAGTCTGCTTATTTCACTTGAGCCTCACTAATTAGTGAACATGCAAGTAATGGCGGAACATGAATTAGCAGATTACTTACAAGCGGCTAAAAGCACTTGATCATGTACATGAAGTGACCCTGAGATGACCGAACCCAGACCGAACCCAGGGAAGATGTAAGCATTGTTGGCCTGGAGTATAAGAAAAGGCAAAGTCCAGAGCATCATTCAAATCCAAAAAGAAATAAATAGCAAGAGATGGAGACAAGGGATGAGCCCCGAAGAAGAGGTTTACCTGGCCTGGCACAAAAAGTCTGCCGTTGAGTACAACGGCAACGGAGTCAAACGGGCTTCCACTAGAAAAAACAGCAAGACCCTGCGATTGGGGTATTATGATATCGTTATCAGAGGGTGCAGGATAAGGTACTGCATGTTAAAAGATGAGCTTTACATTTACCTTGCTCCAGGTGTAAGTTTCTTCCGCTGTGCACTCTGATTTGGACGTTGGATTGGACAAGGCCATAATAAGAGGTCTCTACGTTACAAACCAACAAAAATTACGGTTCATTTCGTTAAATGGTGTAGAAAAGAGGCAAAGTAGTAATATTATTTCCCGGATAACTTGTCCATAGGCTTAAGGGATGAACATACCTTGGTATAAGAGGTCATGGCCTCAATAACCTCCTTTGTGAAAGCTCTTCCTACTCCAGCTGATCCAATCAAAATCGTGGTTTTGAGTGCCTGAGAAGGACAGTAAATGCACGACGAGTGAAGGAAAATAAAGACACAAACACTCACTCTGAAAGGAATGTAAAGAACTAGCAAGGAATAGTTTTCCCACCTTGACAGCACCCAGAAGATCCTCAACAGGTTCATGTTCATGAGCCCAAGGCTTCTTGAAGTGTTGAAGTGAATCCTTCGGAGAATTAAGGATCAGCCCCTGCCATAAAAAATGAGGAAAAATCACAACCTGCACTATGATATATCGAGACATCTTTTGGATTTCTTTTGCAACTAAAGCAGCTTGTATTTATTAAAACATCTATAACCTTTGAATCTACTAGCCAAATGTTTTTCCGAGTCTCCTCCACTGGAGTTTCTGCCTGCAATGACCATAAATCCACACTACAATTAATGAAATAAGAAGATGGTCGCTGACTCGTTATAGACAATATGATTACCTAACCACGAGAAGTCTCCAAACCAGAACAATAGATGAGTATCTGCTTTGACATCTCGAGAGCTATGAGTTCTGCTATGCCAGTGCCCGCCTGCTTTGAGCATATCATCAATGTTAGATCAAGTTGATCTCATCTGGGGATGAATCTATTAAGGATCTTAACTTAATACCGAGACAAGGGAAATTAAACTGCGATCTTGAAGAGATGGACATCATGTACTACTAATTCTTCCAATTAAGCTTCATTAAGAAGGAAAGCATGAGTAGAACGAAAACCCACTTCTCCAGCGCCAAAGAACAAGAAAGTGTGGTCTGCCAAAGAGCCACCAACAACTTTGAGTGCTGCGAGCAGTCCTGCATGTACTACTGCCGCTGTCCCCTGAACAGAATGTGTGTCATTTACTACTCGGGACCGCAAAATGAAAACGAAATCCATATATAGCAATGCATTATACCTGTATGTCATCATTGAACACAAGATGAGTTGTACCATACTTTGCAAGCAGTTCAAAAGCATTGTGGTTTGCAAAATCCTCAAACTGCATAGCTTAATGAAATATTAGTATCTGATGACATCAGAAATCACAATTTTTTAGAAACTTCTTAATGGCCTAACTTTGAAAAGATCCTTACCTGTATGAGAACTTTTTCTCCATAATTCTGCTTGACAGCATTCATGAACTCGTGCAGAAGACCTGCGTACTCTTGCAAAGATGATGTAATCTGCCTTGACATTCATTGTAAAACTTACATGACTGCCAACTCTGTCCGCCCAGTTGCCCTCCTTTGTCTGAGGCCAATGTAAAACTCATCCTTCAACAAATCCTCATTGTTCGTTCCCACGTCAATTGTCACTGGTAAACACTACAAAGAGAGTCCAATATGTGAATTCTCAGTTACAAAGAGAACATTCTTAGGTCAAATTTTGGCTAGGAAGCAATGAGGCTTGTTAGGTTAACTTCAACTTTGAGTTTGGACTTCTTTCCACAAAGATAAAAGGTCAAAACAAAATTGACAAAGAAGTTTTATATTACAGAAATTGTATAGGTGGACTCGGAAGGTTGCGGCGAGAACTGTATCCAATAAACACTTACTGCTGAAGGACGGACTCCTCCAAGGGCTGTGTGCAAAGCCAATTTCCCAACAGGAATGCCCATCCCCTAATGAAATTTTTTTGCAAGAAGGCTTGAATATTAATCATCATAATCCATCAGTATAGGTTGTGGCGTAAAGTTGAAACAGTAGCAGCACCTGGCAACCAAGATCACCAAGTCCCAAGATCCTCTCACCATCAGTGACGACAACAACCTGAATGCTCCTTTTAGGCCAGTTTTTTAGTGCCTTGAGAACTTTACCTCTGTTACATGTTTATCAGTATCAAAACTGCATTTTAGTTGGACAACCTGCAAAGTAGGCAAGAATAACACCTTTCTTTAAGACTTATGAAAAGACCCTCAGGGCGCCTGAAGATGCTCCCATATTTCTGGCAAGCCTCACCAACAGTTGGAGTATAGACGACAGGAAGCAACTCCTCGACATTGTCAATTAGAAGCTTATAGAAGACCCTTTCATTCCTCTCCTGCAAACCGAAATATGTTGGGTCAACTGCCACATCCAAAAAACAAGAGGAAGTAAGCCAATTACTATAATAGAAGTATTGAAAGCTCATGTGCCTCATAAATTTATGGGAATACTTCTAAATCACAGTAAAGGGCTATAACATAATACTGACAAGAACCTGTCATGCAATCTGAAATTCCAAAACGATCATATCCGATTCAAGTCCAACTTGTTCAAATAAGAAAATTCAAGTTTATTCCCTTACGCATTACAATCACCCTATGCCAACATACATGCAAACATGGATGCGTCAGTGTGTGCATTCAACAAACACTGAGAAACTAGAACTAGATTAGACATGGTGGTGGCGGGTACCCAAAGGTCCTTTTGCAGCGGAAGCTGGTATTGCCGTAGATTATGCAACAACTTCTTCTCCTGGTCGGCGAAATCGATAGCGATCGACACAGATCAACACAAGAATGTTAATGACCTAAGATATAGATAAACTAAAAAATAATAGGTTGATTGTGATGAAGCAACCTGAAGATGTTGAGAAGCAACTGTTGGAGGCAGAAGACCACGCAAATAATGGGCGTCCCTCTCTCTCTCTCTGTAAAAGCAAGTCCCTTGTTGTAGCGAGGATCTCTCAACAGAGATAACCCACTGCACCGAGTAAAACTTGTTAACATTACCTCTGAATTATTTCAAAGACAAATCTCTCTATCTCCCTCCTATAATCATTTCCTCGTTAACAAGCTAACTCCAAACCAAAACACTCAACATTCAAACATGCAACGCATCAAATGATCTAAAGAAAGCAAACCTCGCAACAGAGAGAGCCCAAGGAGTGACGAACTGGTCCTCAGTGGCACGATCCTCGCCGTAAACGTCCGCGAACCCACCGCCCACGTCTGATTTCGGCTCAAGCACAGGCGTGCCTTCCCTCAGCTCCTTCATCGTGCTCTCCTTATTCACGGCAGTCTTCCTCTCTCCTCCGATCAAGCTGCCTTTCAGCCTCAGTGCCGCCACAATCAACGGCGGAGACAAAACCCTCGCGTAGAAACAGAGACCAAAGGACACCACCACCAGTCCTCTGCTTCAACACAAGCAACGTGTCAAAACCCGAACTCCATCTAATGAATGCTGCTCTCATTATCCCTCTCCCGTTCACTTAAAACTTCGACACAACCGAACTCCATTGGCATAATGATATGAAATCTACCGCGAAGCAGAGTCCGAAGCTTCCTCGACGATCAAACCGAAAAAGGAAGAGTAGAACGATAGATATGTGAACACCGTAGTGAAGATGAAGATGAAGATGAAGATGAAGAGAGATCGACCTTGTTTTGCTGCGAGCATCACCAGCGACGAACTGGCCCTTCTCAGTGCGATCATCGCGGGCCGACGATCTAGTAGCTCGATGCGATGTGTGCTTCGGAGAGAGAGAGAGAGAGAGAGAGAGAGAGAGAGTTGCTAGTACAGGTGTCGAGCAGTGGCCATGGTAGTCGATGCGATGTGTGCTTCGGAGGTTAAAGTAGATGTGGAGCGCATGCATGCAGGCGAATGCAACGGCGAACTTCGTAGCTGCACGCATCGAGCACTTTTTACGACGAGCGAAACAGGGGACCGATCACACACTAGCGACGGGAAAATTTTTAACCAGCGATTTTGCAACGGGCGACGGCGAAAGTCCCAAGCCCTTTTAACAAATCGAGCAGGAATGGACACGAACGAGGAATGTTATAGGCCCGACGGCCTGTGAACCCACCCAAGCCCGGCCCGAAGACATTTAAAAAAAAAATTCATTGTTCACAGAAATATATAGATATAAATTGTTGTTGATAATTAAAAAATTTCCAATTAACTAATTATTTCAAGCGATACAAGCGATCATTTTTAATAAAATATTTTCTAAATTATTTATTTTTTCGCGAAACAAATAGAGCCTAAAAGGCAACTTTTCTTATGTAGAAACAAGAGATTCCAAAGGATAAGAAAAATAACAAAGATATAAACAATTGTATTTAAGCTAAAGCCAAACCGAGTTCTGTCGCATGACATTGAACATGGACTCGACCCCCGGATTAACTGCAGTACATCTAATATCGTAACACATACAAACATACGTACATGCCTCGAGCACCTTTAAGGCGCTAATCACATGATGCATGGAACAATTCCAATTCCATAACTTACTTTGCACATACCATGCAATCCACGGTTCTCCCGGAACTTTTTCTCCATCGACGCGGCGACTGACAAACCTGATTAAACATCCGGACAGCGCGGATGTCAAGTTTCAACCGAAGATTTCCTTTAGAACTGAGGGCAGGCAGACGATCGACTTCTCCTCCTGCTTCATGGCATAAAGCCGGCAGAGCGCAGGACCTGCCACTTTCCAAGCGAATCTGCATTTTCTGACGTCATTCCATCGCATTGCATAGTTGTATGTAGTGTGGTAGATCGCGAGAGCCTCGTTAAAAATATCTTCCTCCTTCCTCGGGCTCTCTTCAAACTCTGGCGCACCATACAGCAACTGCACCAGAAGAATTGTGCAAAAATGAATTTCCTAGAATCAGGTCTCTCCCTCTCCCTCTCCCTCTCTTCAAACTAGGTCTCACAGCAAGTATACAGAATGTCTCTGTGTCCTCTATAACTTTGTTTTCCGGAACCCTGTTCTGACTATGACTGGAAATCATGAATGAGAAGAGACTCGATGAACAAACCTGTTTATATTTATTTATAACATCATCTGCGGAGTACTTCTTGACTTCTGCACCTCCCCCCCCTAAAGCAGCTGCCATCTCGCTTCTATATTCTGTGTAGCGTCTTTCCCACTCCATTAGGCAGTCTCTCGGGATTTCCACGTCGAAACAGGGAATCTTCCAAATCTCTAAATTTATCGCGAGAAGAAGTCAGTTCCCACGAATTTCAACAGCTAAGATGAAGAAAAACAAAAATTGGAGCTGATTGATATTAAGAAGCAATAAGTAGCAGCAGAAGAGGATATTTGACTACACACAGAATCTGTTCAACTCGGTGAGACTTGGTGAAAGGATGAAATCCTTATCAACCGACTCCATCGAGAAAGATTAAATTCTTTTCAGGCCAAGAGGTCGTGATCTCGAATCAACTTTCTATTTATCATAATCCAAATATCACCAGGCTTGATATTGAATGGAGAGCTAAGTAAGAGCACTACAATAAAACTACACCAGTTTTATGAAGCGTTGTCCCATTCCTATAGTTAAATTACCATGCAACCTCACAAAGGTCTTGATAGCAAGAAGAAACTGAACAAGGCAAAGTCTCACCTTTGCCGGTTTGATTTTCTGCCAGGTATGATTCTACTGTATCAAAAATCAATCCGAGGATAGAATTGGAGCGAAAGGCTTCATCCTTTTCCATGTAATGTGGGAAACTTTCTGCCTTCAAAAATTTGGGAAGTTCAATCTGTTCTCCAGTACAATACAAAAGAAAGAGTCACTAATAACTTCCAAGAAAAACTACCATCAAATAGCATATGGCATGACCCAGTTAAAAAAAGATTTTAAAGGAAAAGGGAGTAAATAGGGTAGATCATATGTTTGTATGCCAAGCAATACAGACGAATCGCGCAGAGGTTTTAATATTTGCTAGTGCTAAGCTGATTCCAGATCCAACTCAAAGTAAGCACTATGAAAATATGTACATCTAACGAAGCATGCCTTGGAGAGCTTCAATTTCTATTGCATGCTCAAGAAATTGAAAATTTAAGCTCTAAATAAAGTTACCAACTAGGTCTTTGGCCTTGTAAAGAATAGAAGCAAATGCAAGAGTGTCGAGAGACCCAAAATCTTATCTGCTCCTGTACGTAAATAACAAGGAAGGTGAAATAAGAAGCTGACCTTTCCACCATTCTTAGGAGCATCCAAGGCATCATAGTATATGTCAACCAACTGAGAAAGATTTCTCTCCACGCGGCGTTTTTCAGCATCTTCATCACAACCAAGCGTTAGAAGACGATCCATCAGTGCCTGCCAACTATCAGCAGCGGCACCCACTGTGTAACTGAAAACAGCATAGAAAATGTCAATTTTCCCAAGAAAAGCCATATATGCAGCACAATCAAGCACTAAAGTAGATCACATTATCTTCATGATCATATTACAATTTCATCAAATTAACCATCAGACAACGGATCATGTTACTCATCTCAGACATATTTTAAACGAAAAATCCTAAAGCCAGCTCAATGATGCTAAAAAGGCTATAAATCTTTTCCTCATCAAAATAATATAACAACCAAATTATGCCTCCACTTACTGGCACAAGCTTCTGAGAAAGATGTTAATTAGGTCCAGGAAAAGATAAATACTACATAAAGCAGATGAAATATACTTGGAAGAAATATCGTAATTGCATCATTTATAAATAACGCTTCATTGACAGCAAAGTCAGCATGGTGATGCAGCAGCAGACTTTGAGCTTCTTAACCTATTTGATAGAATAAGTGGAAGTTGTGAAAGCTGAAATGACCAACCTCTATTATAAAATGAAAGAGTGGTTAAAACCAGAGAAAGCTGAATTCCAAGTGTCCAAAGGAAAAGTAATTTCATGAAGAATCCTTTCACTGACTTCTTCCAAGTCTAAAAGAAAAGAAGCAAACTAAAGCAGATTCTAAGAACTAAAAAAAATACTAAAAGTAATTTTTGGCGATGGAAAATAAGTGTTAGTAAGGGAAGATGAATGCTCCAAAAATGCAAGTTGTAAGAAAGGGAAGATATTTGCCCAAAAAAAAAAAAGAAAAGAAAAGAAAGGGAAGATATACTCTCCCATTAAAGGGAGACGCTGTCTAACACAAAGGGAGCATGATACTTTTTCACTATTATACTCATCTATGTTACTCACCAACTTCAATCAACAAATTCCAAATTTAATAGATTAGCCGACCAAACAAATATGCAGAAAAGAATCAACATTGAATATATCCGTTAATCTCGGTACTTTGCTTCTGTGTGTGTGTCTCCGCGCGCGTGTGTAATACACGTGTGAGGTTCCTTTTGGCAGCAATGGTTAAAAAAGAAAATGAGCATCGAACAGTGGACAACCATTCTGAAGTAGATTTGGCTAGAGCAACAAACAATTATTTGCAAGTCTATGCAGCTAGGTTTGACATTTTTTTGTTTCCCAGGTATAACAGGGGCAACAGATGATGATAATTATGCTCTTGCAGAGGCAGGAACAAATTATCATCTGAAGAAACCATAAATATTTTGCAGATCAATCTTAAAACTGCAGCCAAAGGTGGGAAAATCCATATTTCTGTGAGGTATTTTATGTGGGAATAATATGTCAGAACTTTTTTTCCCCCGAGTTCTTAGATCATTTTCTTCAATCACAAACAGTTTCAGCATATGGAGTCTCAGATTTACAGCACTGAACTAAAAATAAGTACATATTCAATCTCCTACCTTGGGTTAAATCTCTTGTTCAACCATAAATCAATTAACTCATCCTCCAAATTCTCAATAGACATGTCGCTTGGCTTCTTGCAGTTCACGTCTTGTGCTGCAGAAGCTGATACCCATGGCTGGCTCGGTTTAAAATACTTCAACAGCTGACACATTAATTGCTACTCAATCAGTAGTTGTTGGAAAGAGTTTAACAGACATAAATCAGCAATTTTGAATCAACAACTTTTATAGATAGTTCACTGATCACTACCAAACAATTACCTAGACAACCACTGCAAGGTAAGCCTCATAAAATGACCGAACAAGAACAGTACATGATGCACCCATGAGTTCATTGTCAGTAACATAGCCATCGAATCACAATTCACCAATGATGCAAAATAAAAAATAAAAATTGAAATTGATCCAGGTATCTACAACTGCAAGATAGAACAACAAAGATATTCTCAAAAAGGTCTTGTTAACGAGTGCCCCTTGGGCACTGGTTAACTGTACTTCATAAGGAACTGTTTTCATTTCCAATGCACTGATTACATGTAACACGAGAGAGACCATGCATATGACATCAAATAACAAACTTTCTTTTATTGGCTGTTTGATAAGTGCTCCAATCTTTCTTAAGATGCCTGGCTTGGACAGCTAGCATGTGAATGGACATATCCCTGCTAACTTAGGTTTGTTGTGCTACACAACATTTCACTGACTAATGACCAGCAGGCTAACAACAGAAGTAGAAGACTGCATTTGGCCAAATCAATGTTACGGGAGAGATTCCAGAAAAAGCAACAGTAGAAACATCTTAAATGTGGAAACTATCCATGGACATTAAGGATGGCAATCCTCTTCCAGAAAATGGCCCCAGTTGGTCATTCATGTTTTTCAACTCTTCTTAAATTCACTTCACTAGGCCTGTAAACCAAAGGAGAGACAAAAGAGGAACATGCATCAAGAGTGGCTGGAAAAAGCAATTATTCATTGATTAACCCAATAAAAGCAAACATGAGCATGAACCATTTCCTTCGTCGTTCAGGAATTAAGTCCGGGCTCATCTTCTAAAGGTCTGTCGTTTTAGTGAATAACACACGTGAATTTTCAGAAAACTATTTGCTGCACTTCAATAACTCAAGCCATAAACCGTATTCATCCCTTTTCCATTGTCCAGGTAAGGTTCCATACCAACTGCTTAGCCAAGTTGGAACACAGTTAGTTGATGACATAAAACTAATCTAGGTATGAGTCTGAAGACCAGTATGCATCAACTGAAAAGCAAGGGAGGCTTGGCACACAATTTCGATGCTATGCTACATGGCACATTTACATGGAGAGAATGATTGAAACTGCAAAAAATTGTCTAATGAGAAAAAAGGATGGTGAAAAACACCATGCAACTACCAAAACCTCACCTAAAAGAGGAAAATCATGAAAGGAAGATGGAATTGCAGAAACGAATAAAAAAAAATGTCTTTCTGTTGTGGGGGTCAGGGGAAGGGGGTCCAGAGTTGTGTCATCATAAGCTGATCGACAAAAGACATCAACCAAATGTAATACAAGACATCTAACAAGAATGAGTGAATCTCATGTAAACACCAACCTGAGGGTTCCGTGAAACCCAATACATATCCCCATCCAAATCCCCACCAGCTATTTCATCGGTCAAGGAGCGTGGTCTGCTAGTAGGGAAAAATATGGCATACTTGGAATTTCCAACTTTTGTTTCCAGAGCTTCCACATATGTAGCATTCAAAACATGAATGTCTCCGAAATGCAGACCCGGATTCCGGTATACTAATACCGTCCCTGAAATTTGTCCACTGTCACTGCATTGATGATTCAAGGCAAACATTTAAATAGTGGAAGAATTTTGATTATGCACATTTGCAAAAGAGATAACATTGGCTCTGATACCATATTAGAAAGTCCAACCCAAAAACTTAAGCTAATAGGTGGAGGAAGACCACATGAATATAAAGAGAATTTAATTCCCATTGTCAAGCGATATGGGACAATACTTCAACACACACCTTTTCCCTGAAATTGTAAGTATCAAACTCAAATATGGGTTCACAAGAATGGTTACCAGAGATGGGATGTCACAAAAGCAATATAACTTGATTGATGTTTAAATCCAATGGAGGCATGTAACTAAAACAAACATCTAAGCCCCAGAAAAGCATAGCTACAGATATTAATTGGCAAACTAATGAAAGAATATGCAAAAGCACTTACAAATGGTATTAGAAGGATAGGGCAGGATGACGATAATTTCAACTAAAATGAAAACCTATGCATATCAAATACTCGTGAAGATTGACCTTATACTTCCCGCTCTATTAGCAACCGTGGAACATGATTTTACTTGGAAACATTAACAATAGCAAACCTTTTAATCGATAGGCTTTTAAGACCTAACACTATTATTGGTTACCCTACAAAACAGAATACCGTAATGGATGGTAATGAAGCTACCAATCAATGTGGAAGTAGATTCTGCCAGATGTAAAGGATTTCTAGCTTGGACATGCCCCTGGGAGAGGGTTAAACCGATTGTTTGATGTCAACTGCCAGCCAACACTACCCTTATAAAGTTATAGTACATCTATCTCAAATACGGATGATCACTAACAAAGCTTTGCCAAAAGGCATCTATTTCCTAAATAGAAAATACAATTCTTTTATGATCGTTGAAAAGGAGAAATCACTTGTATGGGGTCCTCACAGAATTCATACTATATTTATGAAATTCCGTGAAGTTGGATAAAAGTAAAACGCTAGCTCAGTCAAATAAGCCCAATCATATGCAAACCTAAATTTTGGTTTAGTCATTTCCCCTATGGCACGGTTAGAAGTCAATCCATATCCAAACCAAGCCACTACATAACCAAGGGACGCACTCTAAAATTAAAATTACTAAAGTAACTGTCTCTCTTGAGTTTTCTTTATCACACTCGTGCTAAATACTAATCACGCATAGAAAGATTAGATACCGAGTACATACAGGATGATACAAACTTCTTCACTTTTAAGAATTCCTGTGGGATCGGCTGTCCCCATTAGATAGTAAGAATCTGAAATAGGAATCCTTCCTCCTTTCAAATTCTTCTTTTCCATCTTCATCAGTGTGGATAGATGATCCTGTAGGTATGATTCGTCCAGAGGAATCCCAGATAAGATCATTCTAGCCGCATTGAAACCATCCATATCACCATGGTTCACCGAAACTGCACATACAGTAAAGGAACAAAAGGAAAACAAAAGGCAAAATGTTTTAACATCAAATGGCAATTAAATGAAATATGCAACCAAAGGAAGTAAAAGGAGCAAAGATAAATAAAGATGCGCTTTTATACTTTTGCATATTTAAAGTCCAGAAAAACAAAAGAAGCAAAACCAAGTAAAAGAAAAAAAGAAAAAAATTGGAGAAAATCTCTGTGGACTGTTTTGAGAACAGAGAATATTTCAACAGTCCAAATGTTCAGAAGAATACTACCTTTTAAAGCTGCTCGTTTTCCAGAGAACACACTCTTTGCATCTCCCAAAGCATTCTTCAGAATGTCCAAAAAAAATTCATTCGGGACCCCTCCATAGCTTAAGAGTGCAATCAAAATCTTAGAAAGATATGCAGTTCTTGGTTTATTGCTGCATAAATGAGGACCAGGGTCTGATAAGTTCCTCCGAAAAGGTAAAATTTTAATGGCAGAATAAGCTCCAAACAAAAAGCAATGGGATTGAGTGATTCACCATAATGCAATCTTGATTTCACCCGTTAAGAATTCCAGCCAGTTTCAAATGCATAAGATTTGATAAAAACTTAATTACGATTAACAATATATTGTTGAATATACAATTGTCATTTTAAAAGTCAGCCATCGAAAGCATCACATTTTTCAATCCGCTAATATCATCTTAAAAAAACCAACGACAAAATTAGGATATAGTAGATAGATTGGCTTCACAAAGTCCATGGGGCCTCTAACCAGATAGTCGGACTCAGTGTGTTAAATACACATTAACTCCAAACTATAAAGGCATTGGCAATATTCAGGGGTAAACTGCAAAAATGGCTTATGCTGTGGCCAATTATTCAGAAAAGGCCTCATGTCTCCCTAATATTTCTAAAATTAAATGAGTAGAAGTCTCAAAATTTCAGTTTTAGGGGTGCAACGGATCTCTATACTGTTAGTTATCGTAAATAGATTGTTCCATGCATTTCTTTTGATACAATTAAAAAATTTATTCTCAAGGAGTCACAGCATCAGCATTACTAGGTAGGCCACAATGGTCACATCAAGTTTTATGTAGCTTAGAACTGCCAATGGGCCTTTCCGGGGCTCTCCTTTCCCGAGTTGTCACTTTTAAGGTATTGCTTCATGTTACATTAAGAGGCACTAGGGCAAATACACAAGCTACCAACTCTGCTAAACTAGTTCACACGAGAAACATGTCCCATGTTCCAATTAAATTACTAAAAGAACAGGAAAGCTGCTATTCAGTCTGTATTGGGGTCTTTTAACGAGCTTACCGCAAAGGAAAATCTTAACACGATGATCAACGAATCAAAAGCATAGCAGGGCAACAAACCCACAGAGAGTTTATAAAATCAATAACAGCTTACTGACAGAATATGTTGGTTGTACCTTGTTGCTACTATTTCCAGTGAATCAACTGTCCTGATATCTGAAAGCTTAGGATCCTTTTCAACCTTGATCATGGATGGTCGAATATGAATTGTATGAGGGGGGAGCTACAGATCAAAATTTGGCCAAAACAATTAGAATCGAAGATAGTGCAATGTGGACTTACAGATCAAAATGAACCAATAGAATAAATCGCTCTATAGAGAATTCTTACAGTTTAAAAGCTAATAACTAGTCATCTTACAGCTCATAAGCTGAAGTGATCCTTAATAGTGCAATGTGGATTTTCCTATGCAACCAAAACACTCTTAACAACATAAATGATTTAGCCTAGAATCTCAACAATTTCTGCAGATAACATGACCTGCTTGATAAACAGTTTTTCTTTTCTACTTCCTCTTGTTAGCAATGATGGATGGGGGAAATTCCACCAGAACACATGCGACTTCTATTGCACCCTCATACTGATACATTATAACTATAAGCAACAGAACTGCAGTTGGAGAGCAAATTTCATTCATGTCAGCCACCAAAAAAAAATTGATTCAGGCTCATGAAACCAGTCTGGAGCATAATGTAATAGAATGAACAACCTACTAAGTATCACATAAAAATATTTATCTTATTTTGCTAATATATTGCAAGACTAACATGTTTCAAAAATCAAAAAGGGAACATCAAAAATCAATTTCAATTCCACCAATTTACACGACGTTTTTAAGTAAAGAGGATATAGCAAGAGAAAATTCCAGTTTTTGAAATATTAAATAAATTGAAAGCAGAAGTACATGACAGGACATGAACACTCCAATATTCAGATACAGAAAATAGCATAATAACGCAAAATGCTTACTTGCTTATTACGCAGAAGAGTACCCTTGACAGCTCTACCATCATTGAATAGACGGAACTGAATCAGCAAAGGCTGCAATAAAAGTTTAAAGTGTAAAAGTTCAACCTGTATGTACTGTATAAAAATCAAGCATCAGCACAAAAAAGAAAATCTCCATCAACTACAGGTTTATTGTCGCTGCAACCAGCAAATCTCTAGGATAACAGAAAAATGCCAAATCATAGGTAAATAGCACCTAGAACAACTATAAATAGAAACTTCTAGGAATTTAACTTATCCTAGAGAAATAAGAGACAATATTTATTCAGTCATATGCCTTCTTAACAATTTTTCCCTACAAAATCCACAATAGAAGGAAGAAGAAAGCAATGCATTCTTGTGGGCCTTGTGGCACTGAAAATATCTCAAAGAGCTTCCCAGGAGAGGATGGCCTTAGTTTAATTCTATTCTTCCATTCGTGACTACTTTTTGGAACATGTCAATTTAAACTAGGGAAAGAAAGGCCGACAGCTAGACACAAAATTCATAATATTAAAATAGAGGCAATAAACCCATAACCCCATCACTACTGTAATTTGAGAACATTGGTCACTACTGATATACAAAAAGGCATGAAACTCAAAGAGACTGTTCAAGGCTTGTGAAAAAAATATCTTCACTATTACGTGTATAAACGAAATTGATCACAAGAAGAATAGCCTAACAATGCTTTATTGCAGCACAAACAACTCGCCAAACTGTGACCTGCAACACCTAAGCTGCAAATTCACATTGCATATTGCTTAGATCTGCATTTGTTCAAATTTACTGCATGGTTTGCATCCCTGAGCCCTTTTGTCCGATTACTACGTCTACCAGACAGTCCAGTAATTCATCGTACCCAGGCAGCATCATCCTATTGCCAAACGTAGATAGCCAATTCAGTGTCATCGTGACTATATCATCTAACGACACAACCCACAACCAACCATCACTACGCACTACCAGTTTTCCTTTTCTATTGCTATTATTATGTTTTGTGGGTCAGTCTCTCTTGCACAACAGGAGGAAGATACCATTAAGATGAGACACTATATCCACAGGTCACAAACCTCAAAAGCAGGAATAATCGCGCAGCTTCCCTTGAATGTATTTCCAGGACACCTCAAAGCTATGTCCTCAGATACAAAGCCAGTTCCATCAGTATGTATAAGTGGCTTTCCCTTCTTATCATAGATGGAATTTCCCTCTTTATCCTGCAATTAGATAGGAAATTGACCATACTAAGCGTAAGAGCGAACTAAAAGAATATGTTTAGATGACACCAAATTTTCCTTCACGATATACTTAAAAGATAACACCTTGCACTCCTCATCCTTAATTGTCTCAATCGTCACACGATCCCAGTCAACTTCCAAGCTTTCAGTTTTGGACAAAATGAGAGACATCCTGTTTATTAGCAGATGCACATCATTAGGATAGAATATAGTTCACACAAAGTTCAGATGAAAAACTTCTACAGCAACAAACCGTATCATATAGCGGGATACGCTGGACTCTGTATGTGCATGCATGAAGAAGCATCTTGCTTCATGAACTGTTTTCTTTTCCTTAAGTGCCTCGCACTCCATGCAAACAAAGTAACACTTTACAGAGGATGTAGTAGGGTCTCTTTTTTTCTCTTCTTTGCCTCCATCCTTAAACACTGATGAATTACCATATCAGCAAAGGTGAATAGCTTATTGGCAGTTGACACGTGTATTTAAGCTCTCATTGCAGTAAACAAGGCTCCAAAAATTAAGGTGAATGGATCCCTGTCATGCATGCCATACACTTAATAACAAAGGAAAAAGGGGAAAATACTTTGTGAAATAGAAACTGAAATAACTAACATACCAACACTAGTATGTGCTGATGCAATTATCATGACTGCACAGTCTAGAAGCAAGTTGAGCACCAAACATGTCCAGTAAACTTATGCAGACCAAAACAATCCCCAGGGGCGAGAGGAGAGAGTATTGCGTATTTCATAGTTTCAAAAGATAAAAGCTAGCACAGGCATGGAATTCCCGCTCCCATGCTTTACTTAGGAACATTAACGAGTAAAATCATTGTCAAATGGAAAACAAGAAACATGCTTACAACCAAGATTCATCTACTTAGGATACGAGTTTTCCCAACAAATTTAAGAGAATACAGAAATTTTGGCAAAACAACAATAAGTTTGAATGCTGGGAAGTTGCTTGTCCCAAGAGTTCAAGCAGTTAGGAAATGAATATAATGCACATCAAGTAGACATCAACACTTTAAAAAAAAAAAACTGCTTTTTCTTGCTTTTAAATTCAATCCGTAAATTTGAAAATGGCAAAAAAAATGTTTTAAGTTTTGGAAAAACTTCGTGAAAATTGTGATGGCTATAAATGTCAACATTCATATGTTCTGTAAAGTTTCAAGTATTTTGCATTAAATCAAATCAAATTGTAAGATCGACAATACTTTTTATAAAAGTAAGAGTTAATAGTAAATATCATCCCAAACAAATTCTACATTTCCTAGCAAAAGAAAAGGCAAAGTGAGTGCAGAGAATATACGACTACAAGCAAACTCCAAACTCATGCTTGTAGGAAGCTATGTTTTCCATCTAAATATTAAATGATAGTGGAGAGCTGTCAAAGAAAACAAATTACCCAGATACAAGCCAAAATAGAATGTCATGACTGATTCTTCTAACTATTATTATTATCATGGTTGCCTTATTTGCTCACGAATTCACATGTTCTGATAAAGATCATAACAAAGTTTAAGAATGTCAACACAACAAACAAAACTGCACACAAAGAGCACAAGCAATGAAACTTACCAAAGAACTTGTATCGACGGAAACCAACAGGAATCCCTTCCTTTGCAATCTTTTTATATATAGTAAAAGTATCAGCAGAACCAATCGGTCTGCTGCTTTTATCCGTCGTCTCTTCTGCCAACTTGACAAGGAGAACATTCTCGTCTCCTAGTGCCTTTTGTAAAAGTGTTTTCTTCTTATCAAGGTAAGGACCCTGAATGCACACAGAGTCTCAAGCATCATAGTGAGAACCTAAAATCATAAGGATTTTGTTCAAAAGGGTCCGTAAGGAACTTTCTTAACAGCGAAAAAGGAAACTTGTAATATCCAAATGCATTGCCTTACTTGTAATACGTGCAATCACTAAGAAAATCAAAACCTTCTTTATTAAGTACGCTTAACAAATGCTCTTGGGCAATTGATAACATAATTCAAAAAGCTAAACAACACTTCTTGTTGGCACCAGAACGAAGCTGTACCGTGAAATAAATAGATGGCACGGAAGACACATTCTTTATGGTAGTAAAAGCATCAGATATGCAGAAATATTAATGGGAGTATCCGGCTCCTATCCAACAGCCAACCACTCAAAGCACAAATTTCTTTTTCCATTTTTCCCCTCTAAATGACTCGATCATATCAGGATTAATAAATCAGATAACCAAGGCGATGTTAGACAAGTCCAATGCAGCAAGAGCCAAGCAGCGATATTACAGTGATAAAGATGCAGGTCGGCATTCTGCCAAGGTGCACCAACCGATGTCAGTTACAATATTTTCAATTAACAGATCACCCATTTGCTATATCTCTTGAATTGGACTCAAATTATTCCATGTACAGGATGCATGCTGACAACTGCAATATACGGTGTGAATTCGAAACGGGGAAAAATGACTTAAGTGATGCCCTATTCCTCCACTGTGGAAAAATCATTTCCACAACTTATTTGGGAAAAAAGAGCCATTGCTGATATAAGCTAAAATCAGAATCAAGTCTTATTGTATACATACATGATAAAGCCAAGAAACTTACTTTGAAACGATAACACCCTTGAGGTGAAATGTTGCAATGGTAGACATGTGTCTCTCTAGAATCCCAGTCAACATGCTGAAAGCAGAAACAACATAAACGAATAAAAAGTTTCAGGTGACATATAGATCTTAATTATAAAGAATATTAGGATAAAAACCTAAAATAATCTTTAAAAAGTTTACACATTTTATCCCTTTCAACGTCATAATAAAAAAATTTCTGACCAAAAAAAAACGACATAATAAAAATATATATAAATAAACATAAATAATTTGATCCAGAACTATGTATTCCTAAGCTCAAGCATCTCTAGAATTAAAGGAACTACCGCAGTTAATTCCTGACATTTGCTTGATAAAAAGTTCAGAATTAAGTTTACATGAGATATAAAATTTCACGCTAATTAATTCATGAGATCAGTTTCTACCAAAACGTCATCATGTTTATTCTACTGGCACCTAACATGAGAGATGTGATGGATTTAATGAATTTTTTTTATTATTTGTTTTGATATTGGCATTGTAAAGTGAAAAGAGGTTAGGTCTTTCATTCTCTTTAAAAATTTCTGGAAAGATTTCACTTGTTTAGTCAAACAAAGAAATCCAAAATGTGAAAAAAGATGAAGAAAATGGCTGACTTCTTCACCATACTAAGATAATAAACATGAAGAGTTTGTGGAGACAACAAAAGACGGACTCCATTACGAGAAGAGTGGAGACACCACCATGAGAGCTGACAAAGAGAGACAATACGCAGCTTTAAAGGGTCCACACCACATCCATGCATGCGAGCAAAAGAACCTTTTTTTTTTTTTTTTTTGATAACCCAGGGAACCCCCGCACGGCCGACAGCCGGGGAGTAAACCCTAGGGGCGACACGTGCTAGCCACCACACACATGCCACCGGTTAAGTCACCCTGCGGCGCTCGGGATTCGAACACTCAACCTTTTGCGAGAGGAAGAGTGCGCGCTCCAGCAGCGCTTCCCAGGCGGGTGGTGCGAGCAAAAGAACCTTTGAGTAGTGATGAAAGTGATTATTCTAGTTGTTAAATGCCACATGCTAGGCAACCAATTACACATTAATGCTAAGTTCAACAGCCACAAATCTCACGAAAAAGCTTCGTCTTTGCCAAACACGCATTGTGACTTAAATCGCAATACAGAAAGATGCAATCATTTTTGTCAATTATGTGAATTTTCAGGGGAAATTAATAATGGATAACATTGCATTTAAGAACTTTTCGATAAAAGAAAACCCTAGCGACATGGAGATGCTAATATCAAGTCATTCTTTTGTCCTTAATGCAAAAATTTCCAAGGAATGGTGTTGTGAGCAGTGTGATGTACAAACATTATGAATAGAATTGCTTAATTTAATATTGAGGGAACAAACTACAAAATCCAACAAACCTTAAGCTCTATTGATACAATTTTCTCCAATATACAAGGTACAATCATCCCAACCAAGCAGCATTGCCATCATGTTCACAGATCAGATGGTAAAAAAAAAATTCCAAGATTATCGCATTAAGAGATTATTTGCATCTAGGCACATCAGAACACCGGTTTTTACATCCCATCGTCCATCACAAGACGTAAGAGACAATACAATGGCATACTACATATTATGCTCTCTCTCTCTCTCTCTCTCTCTCTCTCTCTCTCTCTCTCTCTCTCTCTCTCTCTCCATATTAACATATTTTAAATTTGCAATTTGTGCGTTCGCGCGTATTTAAAATATGATAAGAAGGGACTAGTTTTGGAAACTATGCACAAATGAATCGCTTCCTAAAGGTTACCTTACATCGGTCATCTTTCTTGACACGAAACTGTCCAATGGCATTCCAGACCGCTTCCTCAAATTCTATCATACTGAGATCTTTCAGCAGTCGAATCCTATCGCTGTCTATGGCATCTTCAAGATTTCCTCTGCATAAAATAGCAGCCCAAATACTCTAAATATGCAGAGCTGACAACATTCAGACAAAGCAACCGAAAAGAGAACTTACTCCCCAGTGTAGTTTAGAATGAGAAATGCTTTTCTAAACTCCAATTCGCTCAGCGCCTTCAGGTGGGGGCTAACTGCCTGTCCATTCCCATTTTGCAAACTGGGAAGAAGTCTCAGACTTCCAATCTGCTGATCTCGCACAAGAGAGCTTGCAAATCCATTGTCTAGCCAAAAAATACCCAGCTCAAATTTTCTGTACAAACTTTGAACAAACTATCTTGCCAGACAAATAGCACCAGAAGATGAAAAGAAGATACAGTTTTGAGCATTATTTTACACGATTCAGTCACCCTCACCACAAAAAACAGGACAATGAACACAAAACAAGGAAAACCACCGTATCGGCAGATTCTTTTACGCTTACATTGAGCATACTTTGAACAAAATCCACGTTCATCATTATACACAGGAAGACAAAACAGGACATGTAGGAAGCAAGTTTCACATTTCGTAACAATAAACACTAGCAAACAAAGTACAATAAAATTTGACCCCCCCCAAAAAAAAAAGCACAATAAATATATATAGTTCAGTCGCTCTCATTACAAAAATGGAAAAACTATCATATAAAAACAAGAGGCTGCGTCACCTCATGCAACACTTATGTCTATGCTCACCAGTCACTATCGTCTCTCCAAACATCTCACTCCTCCAAAACAAATCGAATCGGATAATCTAAACAAGATGTTGACACCGCAAACGGTGATGACTACGCAAGTTCCAAATTTGCGATGATGGACCGTCCCCTTTTGCTCTAATTTCTCCGAATTACAAGCACAGAAGTCACAAGCACGACCTCCACCCCACAAAAAAAAAATGAAAACTTCACGTGAAAGAACATCACTGACCGCGCGAATTCTTCACAGGCGAACGGGCCGGACTTTTACCATCCAACGACGTGCGAGCGATCTTCGTCGGAGACGGCGAGGGACAAGAGCCGGCGCCGGTGCCCTTTTCGATGATGCAGGAGATGAAACCGTCGATGGACCACTTGATTTTCGTCGCGGCGGTCGACCTCAGGACCCGAAGCGCCGCCTCTTCGCCAAGCGACGCGAGCTTCCTCCGGGTCGACTCGTTCGGGGGAGGCTGGCTCTGATCAATGCAGATTCCGCGGATCGCGTCCTCGACGGAGCGGGGAAGCGGCACGGACTGCGAAGCCGAAGGGGAAGAAGAGCAAGAAGAAGAAGGAGGAGGAGAAGGATGAACGTTCATGGCGATCGACCACGACGGAGAGGCTGAAGAAGTACGGCGGAGAGGAAGGCGAACGAGCGGAGCGGCTGTGTGCTGTACTGCACTGTTTGTTTTGGCGGTACTTGGATTTTCCGGGAAAATCTGAAATCGAAATAGAAAATGACGACTCCCTCTTCTTTTATTTTCTCGGGTTTTCTCGGCACGGGAAGAGAAACGTGCAGAGAAGAGCGCGAAACTGGGAATGCTGCAGCGTTTGCCGGTTGGGTTTGGTCATGTCCAGGGTGTCCTGTCCGAACCAGGAGCAGATATATAAGTTGCACTTGTCTAATTTCGCTCGAAAAGCGAAAACTTTGTACAGATTTTTTTTCATTCCAAAAGTTGAAAACATCCTTTAAAATTCAAATTTTATTTACAATTTAAAAAATTACGAAAAAATTAAATATGAATTCTTCGCGTCGAAATTTATATATCATAAAAGTTACGAGTGATTCGATTCGTGGAGAAATCAAACTGTATGTATAGCAAGATTTAAATTAAACGAAAAGTTAAAAAAATGAAATCTTTCTGGACAAACCAAATTATGCAATAATTCTTCTTACATTGGAGAACTGATCTTGCAATTTACAATATGTAAGAGTTAAAAACCGATTGTGTTCTTAATTATAATAATCTTGCATCCGTCTCTTGTTAAATTTTGGTAGTATCATTCTCACTTGTTTTTTTCACCGAATCAGATCCAACCATGCATGAAATTTTCACGAGAAAAAGAAGCTCTCTCTCTCTCGGTGAGTGTAATATGGCCAGTTTAACCCACTCCACATACCCCACACGAATGGAATTGAAATTATGATGTCTCATGTTAGCACCAAAACAATTTATAAGCACGAATACGACATTTGATATAAGCAAACAATCCTAAAAGTCTCTATGAAGAAGAGAGATAGTTGTTTGTACGGTTTCACATGAGCACCGTTGGCTTAACTTTAACTTTCATTAATACTTTTTTGTCAATTTCACATTACAAAAACTAGTAAAAAAGATTACATGCGATTTTCCAAGAAATTCTGAGTACTCTAAATTAAATAATAAACTAAAATGTGAAAACTACAAAGGATAATAAAAGCGAAAATCTAAAGATTTTCTAATGAAAGTCATGAACTGTAGATCTCGAAAAAGGAAATTCTAAGGTACAATAATGTTATATAAAGACTTTACGGATGTACGCCTTATTTTAATATATCAAGGGCCGCACACCTCGCATCCCTCATTTCTCTATATTTTTTTTTTTTCCCTAAGAGGAGGGAATATCCTATGACTATTTTACATCAAGAAAATTCCGAGGTTTGGACGAGATCCGGATGAAGATATCTTACTTAGGATCGAAGTATATATCACAGAAGGAATCGCAAAAGGGGCAAAAAGCTAGGAACGGACAGAGGACAAAAGAAACGGGGGCTAAAAGGAAAAGCGCAGGGAATCCTCTACTTTCTTTTTTTGTTCAAAAGGGAATCCTCTACCTTAACCAAGCACTATTGCGTTAATCAATTACCTGCTACACTATTTTCTGGCCAATAATCAATTAAGTACTTTCCCTTGGAAAAGAAACAAAAGACAAAACAAAGCTTACTTCTCCGAGAAGTTTGCATGCTTCCGAGAGAAGTTAAAACGGCGTAAATGGTCCCTAATTTAATTTAAATGTGTAATATGATGTGATTCTTGAACTTTTATCTAATATGTAACGTCATTTCTGAACTTGTAATTTATTCAATGTGATCTCTGAACTTTTAGTACATGTTCGATTTAGTCCTTGATGTTGTCCCTGGACTTGATTTAATGGAAAAATTATATTGGATATTTTCATATAATTTAAGGACTAAATTGAATGTTTATCCAAAGTTTAGGAGCCATATTAAATAATTTAAAAGTATAGGGACAATATTGCACATAAGTTCATGGACCTCATTGAACAAATTAAAAGTTCAGATACGACATTGCACATTGGGCTAAAGTTGAAAGGACCATTTATGTAATCATCCAAAGTTTTTAAAGTCACAATGACATGTTATGGCACAACAAATTATGGAATATTACGATGTACGAAGGCAATTTATTGAAAACGGTGATTTGGGACTTATAAGATAATTGTTATATTTACAGAAGTTTATGGATTGGAAGGTGATTTACAACACCGAAACTTACTTTGCTAATATAAAACATAATCCATGGACTTTATTTTACATCTACGATCCGACAAGCTAATATGTGAACCTTAATTTCAGGCTAAATTACTCCCTTCAAAGTACATCATATTACTTCCTATAAGGTAAATAACTTCGTCATAAGAGATGTTTACTCCTTCTAACAATATTGTAATTTTGCATTAAAAGTCATACTTTGTAGTTCATGTACTTAGTGGATATAACCCGAACAATTGTAATTTAACCAATCTTGTCATTATCTAGATTGCACGGACAATAATTAATTTCCCTTTTCATGTAGTAATTTAGTTATTAGAGTTCATAGCACGAGTCAATCGCCTTGAAATAGTAATTTATCTTAGATTATTGCAAGAGACGAAACTTATCATTACTAACTGACGGTCAATAATCGTCAATTACCTTACATTTCTCGACTTCTAAATATTGTCACTAGTAATTATCCATAATGTCGTAATCTTCCTCAGATGATCAAGACTCCAAATACGACGGGGTTGTAAATGACATAGCCTTCCGGATAGAAAATGACGACGGTCGGTACCGATTGTTTGGAGTTCCGGGGTTTGGTCTTTGCCATACCCACATAGGAATGCTATGTCTCCTTTGTAGTTTGTAGTGCCGGACGGTCACACATTAGACGGGACTGTCGAAATTAATTTTAGAAATGTTACGGAGACATGTGGCCTTTTCTGAATAATTGGCAGTTTTATGGTGAGATTTAAAATTTAACCTAATGTTCAATGTGGTCCATGAGTTTTTAATTTATTTAATATGGTCCCTGAATTTTTAATGTTTCGGGGATCAAATTACACATTTGGCAAAAGTTCATTATCCCTTTTTCATTTCAAAAGTTGAAAACATCCTTCAAAATTTGAAAATTTATTTACAATTTTAAAAATTATGAAAAATTAAATATGAATTTATGTGTCGAAATTTATATATTATGAAAGTTACAAATGTTTTGATTTATGAAGAAATCAAACTGCATTTACGGTGAGATTTAAAATTAAATAAAACAATTAAAAAAAATCTATCCGAACAAATCGTAATATGCAAAAGTTGGTTTTGCTTTGGAAAATTAATCTTGCAATTTACATTATCTATTTATTGAGCAGCGACCCAACTATTTATTTATAACCCCTTCTTCTCTCGCTTTTCGAAAGTGTAAATATCATCCAGCCACTAGATAAGTTAGTAGCATATGCTTTTAATTTATATAGCTGCGGTCATCTTATTCTCAAAGACTATTAAATGTATTTAACAAAAATTAAAGTGGACAAGCTACAAACTCAAAATAGATTTAAAATAAAAATCACACTAAAAATCCCACTAAAGTGTCGAATTCAATTGTGTTCTTAATTATAATCTTGCCTCCGTCTCTTCTTAAAATTTGGCAGTATCATTGTCAATTATTTTTTCACCGATTCATAACCAATCATGCATGAAATTTTCACGAGAAAGAGAAGCGCTCTCTCTCTCTCTCTCGATGAGCATGCCATGGCCGGTTCAACCCACTCCACATATCTCACACGAATGGAAGCGAAATTATGACGTCTCGTGCTAGCACGAAAACAATTTATAAGTACGATTACGATATGTCATAAAAATCTCTATGAAGAAGAGATATAGTTGTTTGTACTGTATCACATGAGCACGATTGGCTTTACTTTAACTTCCATTAATACTTTTTGTCAATTTCATGTTACAAAAACTAGTAAAGAAGATCTTTACCAAAAAAAAAAAAAACTAGTAAAGAAGATTACATGCAATTTTTGAAGAAATTCTGAGTACGTTGAATTAAACAAAAACCAAAATGTGCAACTTAATAAAAGCGAAAATCTAAGATTCTCTAATGAGAGTCCTCAACCGTAGATCTCGGAAAAAGGGATTATATGGTACAATAATGTTATAGAAGGGCTCCACATATGTACACTTTATTTTAACGTGTCGAGACTCACGCGTCTTATATCTCTCACTTTCCCACGTATCTTTTTCTTCCCTTGGAGGTGGCAATATCCTCAGATTACTTTACATCTAGGGAATTTCGAAACTCGGACAAAGTCTTAGATAAAGCCTTTTGAGGACTTACCTAGGACCGAAGTATAATGATATTATAGAAGGGCTCGAAAAAAAAGAGGCAAAAAGCTAGGAACGGCACTAATCAATACCGGACAAAACAAAGATAACTTCTCCGAGAAGTATGCATGCTTCCAAGAGAAGTTTTTATGGGGAAAAAGGCGTAAATGATATTTGAATTTTGACTAAACATGTAATATGATCATTGAACTCTTAATTTATTTAATGTGATCCATGAATTTTAGTCAATGTGCAATATCGTCCCTCAATTTTTTAAATTTATTCAATATAATCTCTGAACTTTTGATACATGTTCAATTTAGTCACTGAATTATATATAAATGTTCATTATTATACATGAACTTGGTTTAATAGAAGAATGACATTGTATATTTTCATATAATTTAGGGACTAAATTGAATGTTTACTAAAAGTTTAGGGACTATATTGAATAATTTAAAAGTTCAGTGTCAATATTGCACATAAGTTCAAGAACAACATTGAACAAATTGAAGATTAAGGATAACATTGTATATTAAGCCAAAGTTTTTGAACCATTTGTGTAATTATTCCAAGTTTTCTAAGTCAAAATGACATGCTGTAGCACGGCAAGTTATGGAGTATTACGATGTACGGAGGCAATTTACGATTTGAAACAACGATTTGAGACTGATAAGATAATTGTCATATTTACAAAAAATTATGGATTGAAAGATAATTTGCGATATCAAAACTTACTTTACTAATATAGAACATAATCCATGGACTTCATTTTACGTCTACTATACAGCAAGCTAATTTGCGAACCTTAATTTCAGGCTAAATTACTCCTTTCAAATTTAGTCATAGTACTTCCTATAAGGTAAATGACTTCATCTTGAGAGATGTTTACTCCTTTCAACAATGTTGTAATTTAGCATTAAAAGTCATACTTTATAGTTCTTGTACTCCAACAATCGTAATTTGACAGATCTCGTC